AGCTGTTTTATACAGGGTGACCCCAAATAAAAACCGTAGATTTGATGGCAGGTAAGTAAATCATTGATTCGAACTTAAAATCGGCTCTAAAAGTACGCCCTCATTTGTTACACCGATTTATTTGCCAAAAACTCAAATTAAGCTTATCAGACAACTGACCGACAGAAGATATTTTAGGAATTTTCTTTAAATACGTCCAGTTTTTCGCGAATTAACACAATTTAAGAATGTTCAAAATATGCTCTTAAAATGCGTAAAAACCCCAGACCTCTAAGAAGCAAAACCATAGAAGCCTACAGAATAGTTTACATGAATATTGGAAAGTGCGGTTTTATACAGGATGTCTTCAAATAAACGCCACAGATTTGGTGGCAAATTTTGAAAAATGAATAATTCTTTCAAAGTTAAAGTCGGCTTTAAAATTGGCTTCTTACTTGTCACACCGAATTTTTTCAGGCAACTCCCTAACAAAAAAATAGTTTAGGCATTTCCTTCAAATATGTCGAGTTTTACGCGAAATGAAAAAAATAATGATTAAAAAACGCTTAAAGAAGAGAAAGAACCATCAAAGCTTTTATAACAAATCATGTAAATATTGGAAAACGTAGTTTTATACAGGGTGTTTGAAAATAATCGCCTCAGAATATGGTGGCAGATTTTCCCAAACCATTCGTTCGCCCTTAAAGTCGCCTCTGAATTTGTCTCTTTCTATGCTTTGCAGGTTTTTGGGCAAAAACTACTAACCTGGCAACAGGATTAATTAAAATAAAATTGTATATTTAGGGCAAAAGCCGACTACAATTAAAGTGTAGATTTTCATTTCCGTGGTCTCCAAGTGCAATCGATCACATTTTCTCTCAACTAAGCGTTTCACTGAAAAACTCATGAGACAGAAAATATTGCCAATACAAATAGCGCTCTGATGCGCTGGTAGTTTATAGAGAAAAATAACGCATTTAGATATATGGGACTCCAAAGACATGATAACACAAAAAATCTTGGCAGATGATATCGCCATTATTGTACAAGGAAGGAAAGACCCTGCTGCAGCACCGCAACTGCAAAACGACTATTGAGAGGTGGCAGAATCCAGCAAGAAAAACGGACTAATTTAATTAAAGTTTCGTCTTCAACCAAAATAATTTTGAAGTTTTTCATGTGAATTCATTCAAAAAAGGCCCACGAAACCGATTAGAACCAAAGTAAATTTGAATATAAATTAAAAAATCTGCATTCATCTGCCGAGTTAACGGATGGGCGTTTTTTCGCAATTGGTCTGGAACAAGAAATGAAAACAATAGCAGCCCAATGTCATATCAATAAATGCCTATGCAAATTTCCACTATTATAAACTAGTTTGATTTCCTAGTAGCGAGCGGCTTCAACCTGCTAATTTCGGGCGTGGGCCGTTTTCTATTAAGTTCCTGCTGCGATCATCCAGATCAATTGAAAAAAAACCATCTTATTGACAAAGTCTGCAAGTAACCACACTATAATAATTCAGCACAGCAAATGTACTTGACTTAGTTAAATTCACACTCCAGAATACATTTCACATTTCGCTATTAATTTAACGTGTTTGCCAAAGGTCAGCCGTGAAGAATTTACTAGTTATGTAAACGCTTGGCTCTATTATCGTAATTGATAATTAACGAGCATCTTCAGTTATGAAAAGTTTATGATTATTGGGTCGTGAAGGTGCAAGTGGCCAATAAAATTCGCCGTATCACATCGAGCGTTGTTGCACAACGGAAACCGTTAAGTTTATATTCAGGTTTTCTATGGTAAACCCGAAAGCATGAACCAGTTCACTGGGTAAAATTGGTCATGTGAAAAAAATCTACATTTACTGTATAAAATTGCTAAATTAATCAGAGACTGGAAACATAATGCACGAATACGGTAACCTACTATTGTAAACTCAGAAAAACGGTCACTTAAAGTAAATGTTGTTATTACATACGCTCAAAACGGCGTGGGTTCATTATATAACTCACTATTAGAAGAGTAAAGTGGGGCTTTACTGAAATGGGGTATTATTATGATGGGCTTTCATCAGGTCAAGACATGGAACTCACATTGTTTCTTATTCTTATTGCTAATTATGTATGTGTGGGTTTTCACCTTTTCAAGCTGCATTGCTTTCCTAAAGAATGATCTAGACATCATATGTCTAAAACATGTCATTTATAAGCCATTCTGTCAAATTAGTCTAGTGTCAAATGGCGTTGGAGAATCCGCCTAAGAGGCGGTATGTCTATATTTCAACAAGTGGCAGGTTTTTTCCGTTTTTCTACAAAAAGTTAAAAAGTTTCTGAAAGGAAAAGTTTTACTTCATGGTTTTGTAGCGTTTTGTTGCCCAGTAGAGCGATTTTTATCTGACAAAAGTGAATTTGAAAATTGGGTTTCGTCTGACGTTTGCTGTCAAGATAGATGCGGGAAAGGCTGGCTGATAGTAAGAACAAGTTTTCTAATCTTTCAGTTTCAGTTAGCTGGAAGTTAAAGCTTTTAGTTCGTTTTTTAACTCAAACTTCGCTTTGAATTATGGTCGTTGTTTAACTTGCAAAAATAGTATTCAGGCAAGGAAAAGAAAGAAAAATGTTTTCTCAAAGAAGATGGTTTTTGCAAATATTTTGTTGCATTTTTCGCCTGATCTCTAGCTGCGAAAAGTGAATTTGAAAATTATTCTTTTTCTGACGTTTCCTATCAATAAAGAGAAAACTTTAGCTTGTGTCTAAGGGCAACCATAAAAGTCACTGGTTTTATTATACCGATTTTTTTAAACATTGAAAGTTAAAGCGCTTGGCTCGCCTTTATAAAACTTAGATTCTCAAATCTTTAAAGTCTCGTAGTCACATTTCGCAAAATTAGTGCACTTAACCTTGCAAAAGTAGTGACTAGTAAGTTGCTTCAGTAGCCCAAGTTATCTCATCTAAGATATGTCAATTCACAGCTCAATTTGTCAAATTAGTGAATTATTTGGGCATAGAAAACACTGTGCGCAGCTCGCCTCGTATATTTTACGAAAAATTGCAGGTTTTTATCCACCAAAGGAAAAGTTTATCTTTAACGCTTTCTAGTGTTTTTCCTGCCAAAAAAGTGATGTTTCCTTGTAAAAGAAATTTTAAGATCAAGAATTTCTGACGTTCAATGTCAAGATGGATAAAAGCTTGACAAATAACAATTTGCAACCACTGAAACAAGCGAATTGTTATACTTGTTCGATAATTTAAGTGCACATTTGCAGTATTTAAATGGTTACTTGAATTCGTTAATAAAATCAATTTACTCTGAATTGGCTTCAAGCTAAAACTATTGACTCGCTTTAAAAAAAATGTTTTGAAGTATCCCCATCATTTCATTCGCTTGCAAAAATAGTGTTTAGTTAATTACTCCATTTGTCAGTGAAAGCTGTCTAAAAAATGTCAGTTCATGGGCCATTTTGTCATTTTGTCATGGCGCTGAGGACACAATGTGCGCCTTGATCCGCCTATAATTTGTAACAAATTGTTATCCATTTTTGAGCCATAAGTTGAAGATTTTCTAGACGAGAAAATATTTGTTCAATGTTTTGTTTATTTTTGCTGACCGGTAGAGCGATTTTCCGTTGACAAAAGTGAGTTTTAATAATTGGGCTCTATCTGAATTTTGGTGTCAAATTCGACAAGGGCTTCTAACAACCGAAAGGTGCGAATAACTTTTTTAGTTGCGGTGAGATGCGGATGATTTGAGGTGTTTGAAGCATGAAGTAGTTAAATGAGAAACGGAGACTGAATCAGCCTCATGGTAACCGCGATTTTCTCAACTGACACTTTTACCTATCTTAAATTGAAAACTTGAATCCCCGTTAATTCGGTAAAGAAAATTTTGGAATACTTAGGATTATTTTAGGGCTCTAAAGTCTCGTGATTGTTTTATTGAGCTGCAAAAAGAGTATTCAGTTAACTTCATATTTGACAAAAGTCAATGTAAAACTAACTTCAAACTGTCTTAAAAACGTCAAATTAGTCTGTTCTTTATGGCGTTTAGGAAACACTGTGCACCAGACGCTCCGTCGATATTTCCTAAAATTTCCGGGTTTCTTCCATTTTTGTGTGAGACGTTGAGGTGTTCTCAAAGGGGAAGTTTGCCTTCAACGATTGGTGGTTTCCTCCCGACTAATAGAGTGATTTACAGTTAAAAAAGTGAATTTTAAAATCGGGCTGTTTCTGACGTTTGCTGTCAAATTGGTCAACACCTTAAGAAGCACGCATTAACAACGAGGAGAAGCAAAAATACTTCATTAAATTCCCATTCGGAGTATTTGCGATTCTTCTCAGCTAAGAAAATGAGCAACTTAATGTGGTAAGAGCGGCTTTTCGAATCTTTTAGCTCCCAACTCGCTTGAATTCAAACTATGTCTACAAACGAATTTAAAAAAAATGGAAGATCTTTTCAAAACTTTAACGTGCAAAAAATTTAATAATTTGTGGCACTAAGTGAATATAAAAAGCGCAAAATCAGGCAGTTATAATGTTATAATAAGCAAACCATGCACTAAATGAAGTCATCTGCTAAACCAAGTAGCTAAATTTTCATGTAACCGAACACATAACAAAGACAGGCATTGTATGCTTTAAAAGCGTCAAAATCCATCAAACAGTCAAAGAAGGATTTTTTTGCCGCAGATTAGCAGTCGCAGTGAAAGTTTTATGTCATCATATGATTAACTTGATCGACGGATTCTTACAAGGAAGACGATAATGAACCCATAATTCTCCTGCATTAGCGAGCAAATAGTGCACCTTTGAACTCTTGGGTTGAATTTTCGTTATACTAAATTGACTCATTGAATCTGATTAAGTTGAATTTAACGGGAAAAAAAATGATAGATGAGACCTAATATTTCAATTCATCTGAAAGAAGTCAACCAGAAGAAGAAGAATGTTCTGTTTCCATCCAGCAAAGATTCGCGGTGCGGCAAAACTGAATTTGAAGTACCTCAAAGTAGCCAGTCTTACCTGTTCGAAAATAGTCCTCAAGTAGCTCCAAGCATGCCATTATCCCGTTTTTTAATCCCGCAAACACAACACTTGCATCACACGCTGATCGTAGAAGGCGCACGTTGCAGTACCACCGAATATCGGAAAGAGTTGCACATCGCTTGGTCGGACCGCACCGCAGGAACCACCGGTACTGACACGATCTCTTGCAGCAAGCACCAAAACAACAGAACGCAACGGCCTTCTCTTCGGCATGGCCTACCTGGCGCAGCTACAGTGTTAAGTCTAGGTGCAGAACGTGGAACCACCAGCGATCAAAGACATATATATGAAAGTGTGCAAATACAAGGCGATCGGTAGTCATTGATGGCGAAAGGTGGGCTAATTAAGGAGAACCAAAACTGGCGGCTTTAAATTCTGATCGATGACGAAATCCATCTAAATCCACTCGTTGGTTCTCATTAAGCATTATTAATCTACAGATGAACGTATAGCGAAATTAAAATGCAACGTATGGATATTGCGTCGATTAACAGTCACCAGAACGCATCAGGAAGTCAACTAGAGCCGCCATAAAAACAATATGAAACCGTCTTCCGTTCAGCAACAGCCAATGTATACATTAATTGGTCTCGGCTTGGTCTTCCTGTCATGTCACATGGAAAGTGAGAGTCATCGTTTAAGGCACCCAAATCTGGTTAACATTCAAGTTCATCGAGCAAGGCGAAGAGTTTTGGTGACCGAAATCCGATTTGGAACACTCTCACTAATGTTGAAAAATGCCGATGAATCGATTAAGAACATTGAAGATTATTGTGGGCAAGAGTAACGAGCTGCTGGAAATTTGGGAATTTTTGATAATGAGAAGGCGAAGCAAGAAAACAGTGGGTGTTGGATGGTGATGAACCATTATGGTGAAATCACGCAAGACCAAGACCAAGACATTGTTCCTGTCCAAACCCGAGGAATTTGTGGTAGGCATTCTACAGACCCTCTGTATATCCTCCGTTTTTCAATCAAGGGCGGGTCATGGGGGTCATAACCCCCCCATTTAATTATCTATCCAACGATGCCAAAACGAATTCTGTGGCTCGAATGGTTCTTGAGAAACTTTGAGAAAAGCAGCGTCATGTTCAAGTGGATTTTGCAACTCAAAAAAAACCACGCAAATCTAAAACTTCTTGAATTCAAGCATTTTTTGAGAAAACGGCCAACATTTTCTTATCGATGGTTCACTTTCTAAAAAGGCCATTTATTTCTGTCTAGAATGATGTACACATAGGCGCTCTTGCTCATTTTGCCTCCGCGAAATGAGCAAAAAGGGGACGAAAAACATGAAATTTTGGCATAATCTTGCAATTAAGTGTCTGATATTCAAATTTGGCTTTCTGGGTCAAAACTGCTCGAATTTCCTCACTCACCTTGCTACGACTGAATCGACTTTTCAATTCTCTCTCCAACATGCCAAAAAGAATTCTGTGGCTCGAATGGTTCTTGAGAAACTTCGAAAAAAGCAGCGTCATGTTCAAGTGGATTTTGCAACTCAAAAAAAAAACCCGCAAATCTAAAACTTCTTGAATTCAAGTCTTTTTTTGAGAAAACCGCCAACATTTCCCCATCCATGGTTCACTTTCTGAAAAGGACATTTATTTCTGTCTAGAATGATGTACAAATGAGCGTTCTTGCTCATTTTGCCTCCGAGAAATGAGTAAAAACGGGACGAAAAACATGAAATTTTGGAATAATCTTGCATCTAAGTGTCTGATATTCAAATTTCGCTTTCTGGGTCAAAACCACTCGAATTTCCCCAATCACGTTGTTACGACTGAATCGAGTTTTCAATTCTCTATCCAACGATGCCAAAACGAATTCTGTGGCTCAAATGGTTCTTGAGAAACTGGGAATAAACACCATTTAGTTATCTCTAGAATGATGTAAAAACGAGCATTCTTGCTCATTTTGCTTCCGAGAAACATGCAAAACGGGACGGAAAACATGAAATTTTGCAATAATCTTGCGCCACCC